AAGACTGGTTATAAGCAAATTGTAAATCCAAACTTCTATTTTCTAGCAGTCTTTGGCATATGAGTGTGACATAAGACCATTAAGAAATGAGTCTCTTATTAACTCCTTGTGATATTGTTCTGCAGTTACTGCTTTAAAAGCACAGTCTTTGCTTAGTCATTGTAATTCTTGTAAAGATTTGTCCAGAGATCCTCCAAGTTTTTGTTGATGAGTAGCAAGAAGGTGCCTGGCAAAAATTTAATTTGGCATCTTGACATATAATTTCTCTAAAATGTTAATAACCAAGTCAAATGACATGCATTCGTATATGTACTTGTAAACTTCATATAAAATGTCTGGGGCATTTTCAATCTATTCTTTAAAAAAATTATTTAAAATTCTCAACCAATGTCTCTATTCATTAGCCACTGTGTGGGAGTCAGGATCGAAGTCTTGTCTTCCTGGCTTTAGCATTTTCTCTGTTATATTCCGCTACAAATTTGTTCTCTTTCTGATTCAATCTACATGTCAGCTGGATGTGAGTGCTAAGAAAGCAAAATCCAAAATATAAAAAAGTTGTTTTCTGCACAGGGGCACTGAGCTACATATCTCATCCACAAAGCAAACCCTAGCAAAAATCTAAAATACAAAATAAAAGATACTGAGCATGAATGTTACCAGCAAAGAAAAAAGATAAGTCTGAGAAACACCAGATTTGCTTAAAAGAAAGTCCCTCATAAACTACTGACACAGAATGTGGCCAGTAGGCCAGCTTTTGACACCAACAGGCTCTCAGGAAATCAGTCAACCAACTACTACTCAATATCTATACTACTATATCTACTCAAGACCCACCACTATCTACTATATCTACTCAAGACCTACCTTCCTCCAAGCACCCACACCCACAGAGACATTCTGCTTGCACCCTCTGTATTGACAAAGTCAGATTGTGGCTTCACTAATCAACTCCAGGACTCTCTTGTTGTTTCCAATGTGACCTCAGTCAAGTAACTCACCAAACATACCAAGTCTCACTTTTCTTCAAAATCACCTACCTTACACATCCACTGTAATGGCAACCAGATTTGTGGCTTCACTATCACACTCCAGGCCTGTCTTGACATCACCACCATGACTTTGATCAACTGACTCAACAAATCCCTCAACTCCAGGCCATACCAACAACATTTTTACATCAAATTACTTCCCTTACCTAAAGAACTAAAGAACCATACCTCAACAATTTTGTTATATTTTCACACCACTTCACAGGCCGGTTATTGCCATTTTTGTTTACTCTCCCATCCAACCCAAATCCCAAAATAGCAGAGATATTCCCACTTGATCAAGCTTCACTAATCCACAACAAGCCACTCTCATCATCACCACAATGACCTTGATCAACTAATCCACTATATGCACCAACTTTATAAAAGGCTTTATATACTCTACCCACATTCAAAATAGCTAACACCTGTTAAACCACAGCTATAAAAATGTCACACCTTACTGACAAGAAGCAGTTCAACTTAACACCTTGATGTTGTCACATCAACTCGAACTGCTTGACCACTGATCCATCCATACACCTCACTGGCATCATTTTTGAAGATAGATGAATAAACCCTGCCAACAACACTCCACTCATGCTACCAACAGTGGATACCTCATGAATTTGTACTAGTGAATCCACACCAGAAAAGTCTTTTTCACACTACTATATATGCTGACATTGAGTATTTTGCATATATTCTGAAAATTGGTCAATACATGCCTGTTGAAATTTTAATCCTTGTTTGTTCTTTCCTTTGCAACCATATACTTTATAATATCTCCATGTTTAAGTTCATTTGTTTTTTGAGTTTGTATCATTATTTATGCTGTATTCATTGAAAAAAAGCATCCCAATACAACCAAGAAACTTGTTTTCTTTGAAGAAGATTAAAAAAGCTTATGAATATTGAAACTTTATGAAATGTTGAATAAACAATTTTGAATTTTTTTACACTATCAAAACAAAAATAAAAAAATAAAAATTAAGGAAACAAGGTTTAAATATAGGTAAGTGATACTTTTATTCATTAAAATTATTTTTTGATGATTTTATTAACTATTGATGTCAAAATATTTCATTGTATCCAACGAGGCTTTCTTTTATTTTCATTAAAAGAAAAATAAACAGAAGAAACTGTTATTGCAGTTATTGATTTCATGACCTTTACTTTTTATATTCCTTTTTGCTACAAATGTCATAAGACACCTTTATGCACACTTTAATATGAAAACCTTATCCTCAGATTTAAAAATAAATACTAAAAATCAGAAAATCATCTGATTTTAATAAAATTTCAGAACTCATTAATTAATTATTCGATTCATTTTTTTTATTTAAAAGGTTATTATATTAGAAAAATTCTGTGGAAATTTTTTTCAGGACACTTACAAACTCTTAATTTATTCCATCAGATTCAAATGGTTTCTTTATCTTTATAGTATTTCTAACATTATTATGATAGCAAAAATTTGATAAGGCAAACCAAAATACTATCAACATGAATAGAATAATGAAAACATTGAATAATTTTTTGGTGGCCCTAAAAAGGACAATTCCCTGGCTTTCATTGTTCCATCTTGGATTGATACATTTCAATCATCTTTGTTATAGCAGTCATCCTGCGAGCACCTCGAGGTGGTGTAATGGCTAGCAAGCTTGTTCTGCTAGAACAATTATGACTGAGCAGTGAGTTTGATCCTCAATGGGTGCCCCATACTTTTGGCCTTGTGCCACATCTAAGCTACACTTGGAAAATCTCTATAGCAGTTGTCCTGATTTTCTTTGTTTATCTTCCACAGAATAAAAAAAATCATACAGTTACAAAATGAAAATAAATAAAATTATTTTTAAAAATGTTCACACTCAAAAATTGCATTAAAATTTACATTTTTTCAATTCTACAAACACATTTTTAGTTTATAACAAGTTTTTCAGAAATGGCCAAAATGTAAAAGAGTTTTAAAATCATACTGTAAGTATACACATCAATTTTTCACAAACAAATATACATCAGAGTTTTATTTTCCTGTGAAAACAAAAAATATACAGTATATTTTTTTAATAATATTGAGTTTTCTTGATTTCTTTCTTACGGTCTTGGACCATATTTTAAAAAAAATGTATTCATTGTTGATATTAATTTTATATATATATATATATATATATATATATATATATATATATATATATATATATATATATAACATCTATGAAGATTTAGCTTTATAAAGATGTAAAGTTAGGAACATTCAAAATTTATTAGTACAGATTAACCCCAAGTTAAGTAAAGGGGAGTATAACTAACTTGAAAAAATACATTATTTTATACTAATTTCCACCCACTATAAGAGTCAAGAGCCACTCAAGTTAGAAGGTTACTTTGTGGTGTTGTATGAACATAAGAAAAGACAAAAATTGAAGTTTACGGGATTATGCAGGGAAGATCAACCCTAAACTTGAAGAGGTCAAGTGATTGTAGTGATTGGGAAAGCATCCTGTGCTGGGAGTCTGTTCCACAAAGGAGCAGTTCTTGGGAAGAAGCTGTCCGAATGGATCTTACTTCTTACTCATGTAATACGAAGAGAATGAAGATGATTCATGCTTGTGTACATGGCATGGAGGGTCCCAATTGCAAAAGTCAAGGCTGGTGGGACTAAGAAATATAGCTTGTCAAAACACATATTTTGGAAATAGTGATGGAGTAGTGAGAGACTCACAACATTTCACCTGTAGGAAAGGAATTGTAGGGTGGAAAATAATTAATCATTTACATGGTCACATAGATACGTTTGAACAAGATAGGCAAGTGTGGACTGGGCAGCTCTAGTCCAGATATAGCAGCAATACTCTATTTTTGGTTTGATTTAACTCTTGTAAACATAGAGTATAGCAGGGAGAGTTAGATACTTACTGGAGCAGTTCCAGGTTATTTAGCAATAATTTGTCTATATGAGTTCCACTTCTGGGGAAAACTTGAGTCCCAATTGATGTTCAAGGCAAGGAGCCTCCTTGAGAGTAGACATATCCATCATGATAGCTGTTCAGGGTCTGTTTGGTGGTAGTGAAACATTATTAGTTTGGCTCTGGCCATATTGAAATTTACAAACCAGTTCTTCTCCCACTGAGCCACTTGGGCTAGTTTCAGAGGAGAGATCATCTGCTAGGTCCTGGCCATCCAGATTTTTGTGAACCCATAAACTGTTGTGCCATCTGCAAAGAAAGTCACTAAGGATTGGAGTATGTTCTTAAACAGATTATTAGAATAGAAAGAATGTAGCACTAAGAAAACTAATAAAATAAAAAGATTCGTTAACTAAGGAACAACTGCTGAAAATCTCAATGAAATCTGATAATTCCCAATTTCTGGTAATTTTTAAAAAACAAGTGTATTGTTTTTTTTTTTTATATGTGCCAAAAGTGCATGATTTGGGAGGTACCAAATGAATACTCAGTTCAGTTATGTACCATGCATGATACACGCTTAGGCGATCATGTATCGTTCGATACATGACTGACGAAGCAGATTTTTTCCTGGTGACCATTTCTTTCTGCAGTAGATCATTTGCCATCCAAGGTCTATCCTGCTATTTACCCATAGCTGGGAGGGAGAAGAGGAGGATTCATACCGTTCCCAAACACGTAGTGAATGTAATGGATTATGACTGGAATCCGAACTCGGCTTTCCGATTCCTCAATTCGAGCCACTATCCATTACTCCACCGTCACATTCATAAAAAGCACAAAACACAAGGGAAATAACTGACATTGAATTAGTATTTAAACCGCCGTTTTTAATAATTATTGGCCTTGAATACACGTTTTATCTGAGTGTTGGTTAGATTTAATCAGTAGGATTCACGGTAGGAATGTTTCCCTTCAAGTTAAATTTTTGAGTTTTACTTTTATGAGTGTGTTGAAAGGCCTGTTATTAGGCAGACTATACAAGACGCAAAGCATTGACTTTATGGCAATTAAGAACCCTGTTTGTGCATCATTGTCTTTTGTAGGTCTGTTTTTTTATATTTTGTAAAAAAAAATATTCGAAATATGAGTTAGGGTGGTAAATTCAAATTTTACGATAACGTATTAATTTTATTTTCCTGTAGTCAAAAAGAAATAGGAGGATTGATTACATAAAAAACCCTAGCTAAATTATTATTGTTAATTACACCTATATTTTTAATTTTACTGTTTTAAACAAAGCACCAACTTTGTATTTTAGTAAAAAAAACTTTTTTACTTTAAGTTACATGTTAAACTTCCATTATGAGCGTGGTTATATTTGTAACGTTAGTGAACAAGATTTCTTACACAAAAACTCTTATTTTTTTCTCAATAAAGCGACTTCTTTGCCATAGTTGGAACAACTTTTTTGAGGAGTTAAAAAAATAAATTGCTTTTTTCCTCCCCATTTTCACTTTCGTTAAGAAATTGAAGTTTCAGAAAGTTGGACAATTGCTTGAAGGAGTCGAGTAAATAAAAAAATTATTACTATAACCTCCCCGACTACCAAAAATCGTTTTATTTTTAAAGATTTTTTATACCCACTGAAAGTAGTGTTCCATAGACAGAAAATTAATATTGAATAATTGGCTCTCCCCCTCAGAAAACATTGTACGCTAATTAAACTTGAACATACCCTTTCTTAAAGATTAATAAAGTGCCTATAAAAATAAATTACATTTTTTAATTAATACAAACGTATGTCTCTTTTGAAAACAGTTGTTTTTTTAATTGACTCTTATTTTTAAAACTTAAAAGTATGCTTTTTAATTTTTATATAATTCAAGTCTGTCAGAATTGTTCCCCAGCCATTTACTTGTTTCCAGAAGCATAGCTTATTCACCATTTCTTTCTCTTCTAGGTGAATATGTTTGCTGCTCACTTTAATGAAACTGGCTCTTCCGAAAGTCTTCACATGGGTGAAGTTGATATTCCAATAATAACAGAAAACGATGTCTTGATTCAAGTTTATGCTAGTGCTGTCAACAGAGCAGACATTCTACAGGTAATGTTAAAAATTTTGATATAAATTAAATAATTTTGAGCCATAATCCATAACATGTCCTCTTTCTTTCTCTTTAAATGTAGGCACACCTGACTACTCCTCATCTGACCAGGTTAGAAAGCTCATATTTTTTGTTAGATGAAATTGTGAAAAACCATTTTACCTTACACAGCCAATTTGGATATAACAACTTAAAATTAACAATGCCTATAATATTCAGTGGTTTGCTTTGTTTTGAAAGTATGTAACATGGAAATAAAATTTAAAGATTTTTTTTCTTTTCTTTTTGATATAAGGCTTAGTGTAAAATTCTCATTAAAAATGTTAGATTGGATCTGAAACTTTGTCCGTTAGATGAGTTTTATGCTGGTAAACAAATGTGAGATTTTTATCTTGTAAGAATTATCATCCTGATTTAATTTTCTTTTTTACCAATAGTTCATCCAACTGAAAGTAAAGGGTTACTGAGAGATTGTAAGGGAGTGGGGAAGTAAGAGAGTATTATGAAGAAGAGTAGGATAGATATCGATTGACCCTAGACTTAAAAATGTCGGGAATTTCCCCAGTTGCATGTGTGTTTGTGTTCAGCAGTGTGAGTGGAATGAACAAAAAACTCAAAGCTTGAAAATAACTTCAACAATTTTATTTCTGATTGAAAAAGAAGTGCAAAATAGTATTTTTCAGAGGAAAATGGGGCTTTCCCAGTTAACAAAGTTCTTGAGAATAGTAATTGTTTTTGTTGAGAGAGATTTCTTCATTAGTTTCCATGAGAGGAACAAGAAATCCAATTGAAACTGCTAGGACAAGTCTCATCTTTTGTAGCAAGGGTTGTGTGTAGTTTTCCTTTGGTTAAGGTTTTGAAGGGAGATTTCTCTGCCAATTCCCACAGGAGGAATGAGAAAACTAAGGTCAAGCTACCAAAACAGGCTTCATCTTTAGCAATGAGGATTGTGTATAGCCCTTCAAACTGGGCTTGAAGGTTACAACTACTAAAAGTGAGAAATGGAAAAATAAAAACTGACCCTGAGATAGAGCCTGCTGAACAGGAAGGTGGAATATAGAGCAGCTGAAATTGAAGAGTGGGAAAGAGTGCTGGCCATGAGGCTGCTGAAATGGAAGATGAAAAGGAGGTTTTATAATGTCAGAGACTCCCAGTTATACCCTGCTGATTATTTCTGCTGCTACTACTGAATCAAGCTAGATGAGGAAGCCCCTCCCCACATGCCACAATAGCCAGCAAGTGAGATAGTTTTTATAAGAAACCAAGATTGTAGTTGTCAGAGAAACATTCACTTGGGATTTTGCTCCACAAAGTAACAGTTCTGGGGAAGAAGCTGCCAGAGTGGAACTCAGTTTTTATTAAACACAAATAGAATGGGGATCGTCTTACTTGTGAGGGTCAGAGGTGGTGGCATTAATGAACATATTATATCCAAATATTTGTCATAATGGCAGCAATATAGTAGTGAAAGGTTGGAGACATTTCATCTGTAGTATAAGGGTTACAGGGTGGAAAATAATTTACCACCTACAAAGCTGTGTAAGCATTTTTGAACTTTGGTGAACCTAGACAGACAGGATTGGGAAGCACATGCCCAGATATGGCAGCAATACTCCAATCTTGGATTAATCTGACTCTTATAAAGATAGAGCATGGCAGCAGGAGTTAGGTATTTTCTGGAGCAATCCAAAGTACTGACTATTCTTTTAGCATCTTTTACAATGGCACAAATATATGCATTCCATTTGAGGTCAAGGCTTTAGCCACAGAAAGCGTTCAAGGTCAGGAGACTCTTTGAGGGTATGGCCACTCATCAGGATTGGTGCAGATTTAGGGTCTGCTCAGTGGTGATGATGAAATTTTACAAGTTTAGTTTTGAATATCAGCCAGTTTTTTTCCCATAGAGCTGTGAGGTTTTGGTCAGAGGAGAGATGAGCTGCCAGACACTGATCATCGAGACATTTGAAGGTGCACCCGTATTATTTGTATTTACAAATTTCTGTTTTTAGTTAGTTAGTATATGGATATACACTTATGCTTTGGTGATATTGCATAAATATTTCCTGCTCATCAGTAGACTGTATGATATCAAGATCATTCTTTATTTTTCAAAAATCCATATTGATTCTTCAGTATTGGTATAAAAGTCTGAAGAACAATTGTAATTGTTCAATTGATCTAAAACAAATTATATGCCAGGTATTTAGTAGTTCAGAATTGTTAGTTATCTTAGTATATTTTCTGAATAGGATTAAGACTATAGATAGTCTAATGAAGATTCTCATGACAAAAAGAAAGGTTGTCATTATTCTGTAATATTAATACTATTATTACTATTTTGTTCATCGCATTTACATTACAAATTTCAATATTATTGTCTCCAATCTAGTATAACCACATTCATCAACCTCATGGGAATTTGTAAAATCATACATACTGTTTTTATTGAATAGCTATAATCTAATAATTATCATAAACTCTTTCATCTGAAATCTTCTGAATATATTAGATTACCAAATACTTTATCAATAACTAGAAGAAATTAACATTTTTCAAAAGTTAAATACTGTATATAACAAAGGTATAAAAGTAACCAGAAAAAATATAATTTGAATCAAATAAAACTAGTTTATGGTTATGTTGAAGACTAAACTAATCATTTAGACTACAAAACTGTTACCAGCTGGTGGATTTTTTTTTTTTTTTATTTTAAAAATATTTTTTGTAATGTTTTTATTTTTTATAATATTCAGCTTGTATTGTTGTGCCTGTCTTCTTTTCAGCGTCAGGGCAAATATCCACCTCCTCCTGGAAAATCTTCAATTTTGGGTTTAGAAGCTGCAGCAATTGTGCATAAAATTGGATCAAGTGTTACCAAATGGAAAGTTGGAGATAAAGTAATGGCTCTTTGTAATGGTAAGTTTAAGAAAATGGATTATCCCAATATCTCTGATCAGAGAGGGGGGGATGTTGCTAGACATTATAAATTGAAGTAGATTCTGGAATAGCATGTTTTGTAGCATGACAATAACTTCTGATTATATTAGATTACCAAAAACTTTAAGAATTTTAATCCTTTCCTAATTGTGAAGTAATTAAAAATGATGCCCATGTAAAAAAAAAAAAAAAATCTTCAAAGAAAATGGACCTTGAAAAATATTTTTGACAAGAAATTGCAGATTTAATTAAATCAAATTAATTGCTCATGGAGCAATCAATGTATTTCACTGTGGTTCAAAAAATAAAATTAACTTCTTCCAGAATCTTTCTTTTTCTTCCTTACTCTTAAATCTTTCTTCTTTTCTTGCAACCTATCTTGTATATGAAACAAACAAAAAAATCCTCAATCCATATTTTTGGTTGAGCTTTATACTTTTCTTCCTTCCCATAATTTGTCTCTTTCCACAATATCTTTCCATAAAAGAAATCACTGCTTGTCCTTCTCCCCTATCACAAGGTAAGCAACTTTCCATCTCCTATTCTTCCTTCATTCAAACTACATTCTCTTAAGCCTAGACTTGAACCTGATTGGAGTTCTTGTTTAGGGATTGTCTTGATGAAGATTATTGAAAAAAGTGGGGGAATCATAATACTGAGTGCAATAGTACCCTTGATTTTTTTTTTTTTTATAACCTTGAGGTATCTATTTTAGAGCAACTTTGACTGGCTGACTTTGGCAGTTAAGAGGACAATAGTTGTATAATTTGAGCTTCACTCTGAGACTAATCTTGTTTGAAGACTCAACAGTATGGAATCTTTTTGACTCCCCCATTAGTTTTCCAATTTTAACTTCTTTGATTGTGGCACTAGAATTAGATTGAATGTCTCCAAGGTAAGTGCAGTTATCAATGTCCTCAGTTTTTAACTGTAAAATGCAATCATTTAAGTACCCAATCTTTTGGATTTTTGTTTTTCAGAACTTATCTACAACCCAAACTTAGAATTAACTGCCTTCCATAAGTCTGTCATAGGTTACCTTTCTTAGCATTTGTTAGCAAATAAAGCTAAATTGTCGGCAAAGTCCAGATTAGTTAATCTTTTTCTGTATACCAAACTGTTGTTTGTATACTGATTTCCTCAGTATATAATGCATCACTATGAGGAAGAAAAATGGCAATGGTAGCCAACCTGCAGCACTACTGTCTTCAAAGAAATCTGTTACTCCATCAACTGTCTCATTCTGTGTATGACAATAAACTGCATCCAGCAGAAAGGCCTCTGATCATGAGGTTTTGAGGAGTGTAGAACCACTTTTTAATAGCTCTTGTTCCCAGATCCACCCTGACCTGAAGTGGTAGCTTCTGTTAGGGTCCCAGCTATGGATAAATAATTTCCCTTTCCCGCAAACTGGTATCTGAATACTAAGAAAGTGTAAAGGTGAGTTTTTATAATATAAATACCAGGAATACAAATTGCAATATATAAAATACATATTCACAAAAACTGATTCCCAAAAACTACAAATTCCTTTCTATGGGGCCACCCATTTAACATGGGTGGTGACCTGTGATGCCTGGGGATGGAGTCCTGGTGACTGAGTGACTCCTGGTCTGGTATGAAATGACCAGGAGTGTCCACAACACATCACTTCAGTCCCTACCTGGGATAGACAGGCAGTTTGAATAGCCCAATCCATTCCAATTGGCTAGTCACATAGTGGTAAGAGCTAGTTGGAATGATAATAGCTTCGACATGGCTGTGAATCCTTACACCATACTATACTTGGGTAGATATGATGGGGGAATGCTGGTGCTCGTATCCGCTTTCATCACAACTATACTATCTGCGTAGTCCTGGCGGATCAGGACAAATGGGATTAGTTCTCCCTGATAAGTGTCCCTTAAGAAGAAACAAAGTGCTAATAGACCGGAGAGCATAGAAATTATGGTCACTTCACCCATGAAGCATAAATTGGACAAGCAAAAAAACTCTTAACACCCGGGGTCAAAACACTATGAAAGTTTAAAAGTGGGTTTTACTACAAGAAATACTTTATAAAAAAAAATTATGACCAGCAAAAAAAAAAAAATATCACCAGCAATATATTTTTGGAAAAATATTACCAGCAGTACATTTTCTGAAAAAATTTTACCAGCTATACTTTTTTGAAAAATATTACCTGCAGTAGATTTTTGAAGGAAAAATATTACCAGCAATAAAAATTTTGCTGGCATTAAATAACCTATTGAGGTTGATACGCTGCAAAATCTAATCAAACCAAACCATCAACAACTGTTTTGACACAGCATCATGAATTGGTATAAAACTCTAGAAAATATTAGATTTTTTGTGGGATTGATAAACACTGTCAAGAACTTTCTAAAAATTGATGTAATTAATGTGTAAAGGGCTGCAAAACCCTATTAATTGCTCAATGATATTGCACAATGAAAATATTTGCTTACTGCATGATTGTCCATGTCTGAATCCTGGTTGCTCTTCTCACAGTTTGGTATATACATGCCTTTTGTAGACATACTAAAATAGTATGACATAAGTTTCCTAGTGATGATCAGAAGATTAATACCCCTCCAGATGTCACATTCACCTAAATTTTCTTTTTTGGGAAGTCTTACAATTGCTCCACACTGCCATTCATCAGCAAATTTGACAATATTCTATACCAAATTAATAATTTGAATAATTTCTTTCACCATTGCTTTGTCATCATGTTGGCTGGGGCTGTAGAATAATGCTAACTGCATCTTTGGAGAGGGGTACCCCCCCACTCCAATGAGGCCACCTGTTTGATGTAGGTGGTGACCCATGATACCTAAAGATGGGATCCTGGTAGTTGAGAAATTCATTAGTTAGACAGAATACTCATGAATTCCAACATACTACGTTAGCCTTTACTTGGGCTAGACATGTGGTTGGAGGGGCCTGATCTGATCAATCATGTCAAGCTCTAAGTCAGACCAACAAAACAAAAAAAAAATCACTCTTATCCATCACACCTAACTCCAAAACTGACTTAATAAGTGGTGGTTGTAGGGCCAATTTAACTAGGGATAAAGGAGTCTGACATGGCTATTGTAAACGCTGAGAAAAACCTATACTTGGGTGGATGTTCACAAATACAAGTGCTCAAATTCCTCTCCATATTTGAGAATATCAGTTATGTAGCCCTGGAGGGATGGGGTGAATGGGATTTTCCCCCTCATCAACTCCTCCATATGGGGCTCCAAGATGGGTGGAGAGTATGAATGAACAACCACAATAAATAAAAACATGAGTAATAAAAAAAAAATCCACATGAATACTATCATATAGTGATACAGAAAGTGAATCAGAAAATAACCAAAAAGACATTTCAAGATTCTTAGTCCTTGAATCACTAGAGGAAAATCCAGTAATACAAAAGGTTATATCTACAAATTTTTGTAATATAAAAATTCATATCTACAAACACCATTTCAAAAACAGTAAAAATTCTATGAAATGGAATTATAATTGAAGGAAAAAAACATGCAGATTTTCTGCTGAAGATGAACACCTTTCATACAAAAAAAATAAAGATATTACATTTGAATAGTTGGAGATTATAGCTATCAGGGAAACAGGAAGAAGGGAGTTCCACAGATGAGAGGTGCAAGACATGAAGCTATTGGAGTAGAAGAGACGGCTACATTTAAGAGTTTTGACAGTGAAAGGGTGAGAGCGAGATGCCAGCCTAGTAGAATGCTTAAATTCATGAAGTCTGGGAACCAGCAAAAGCAGCTCATTGGAGCAGTTACCATGAAAGTATTTGTAAGAAAGACAGAGGGAGGTGACGGCACGTCTGTGAGAGAGCGACTCCGGTAAGAAAAATTTCCTGGCTCAGCACAGGGAGCCAACTTTCCTTGTGGTGGACGAAGCTATTGACTCAATTTATTTGTTTCATCTCAGGTCAGCAGTCAATGTGAGGCTGAGTAGTCACAAAGAGGAGTTCTCGAGAAGTTGAGTGTCTGACATTCTAATGGGGGCATCAGGGATGGTTCTCTGTAGTGAGTAATAGAGAGCAGTTTTGTTTTTGAGGCGTTAAAGTTAACCAGCTAATTTCTGCCCCAGTTCACAACTGATTGGAGGTCCTTTTTGAGACAAACGGCCAGGTTAGTTTTGTCAATGACACTAGATTTGTTTTTGAGACAGGAGTAAATTGTAGTGTCGTCCACATAGATGCCTACTTGGGAATCAATGGCGTCAGGAAGATCATTGATGAAGATAAGGAACAGAGTAGCGCCTAGGATGGAGCCTTGGGGAACACCTGCGTTCGTGGGATAGGAGCTGGAGGAGAATCCGTTGAGAACAACCTTCAATACACGGTTTGACAGGAGTGATTGTATTAAGTCAAACAATCAACCTGAAATTCCATAACCCTGAAGCTTGGGAAGAAGGCCAGCATGCCAAACCCTATCAAATGCTTTGGAGATATCTAGAGCCATGGCACAAGTTTCTCTGTTATTATTTCAGTGATGGCTGTAATCACATCAGCTGTAGAATGGGCAAAGCGGAAACCATATTGCTTTTCGGAGAGCAGATATGGAATGTAAGGTGCTTAACCACTTAAGCATTGATTAAAGCTTCAAAGACTTTGCCAAAGAGGGGTAGGAGACAGTAGTACAGTAATTAGAAGGGTCAGAAGGGTCACCAGAGTTCTTAAAGACAGGAACAATGGATGAGGACTTCCAACAGTTTGGAAAAAAATATTCATTGAGGCAGTAGTTATATAATTTGGAGAGGGCAGGGACCAGTTCAGGTGCACATTTCTTCAGGGCAATGGCTGGTATCCCATCTCCACCACTAGCCTTGTGGGGGTCTAAATTAGAGATAATGCCCAATACTGATGACGGGGTTATGTGCAGCTCACTCAATAGGGGGGAAATCGGGTGTGGGTACACCGGAAGAGTCAAGCGTTGAATTGAATGAGAATTTCT